TGGTTCTCTAGATATTTTTGTGTAGAAGGAAATAAAAAAATTTGTTTTTTAAAAGGAGGAGCTGATATCGAATCTTAGACAGTACAGAGCAGGATCTTGATCAAGCGTCAATCAATAGTCATGTAGTATCTGGTAAGGCTTGCAAAGATAACAAGTAAGAACAACAACAACGGGCAGAGCCGACCATTAAATACCCATTAAAATACCATTGTCTAACCCAATTCTTATTTTCGCATGACATTACTATGGTGCGTCAATTTCCATCAGTACATATAAAAACTTAAACTTTTCTGCTCTACAAATGATCAATTTTCGTGAAAATCCTTATTAAGGTGGAATCCGAAAAATAGGCCGAGATGGTCCAAATTTGAAACAATTAATTTTTTTATGTTAAATTACTATTATGATATAATTTTTATCATGAAGCATCGAAAATTATAAACTTTAGTGTTCCTTATATGAGAGGGGATTCAAAAGTTGCCTCAGCCGATTCAAAGTTTTCATACTAATTTAGTACGCCGAAATACTACTATATAGCCATTTTTGCCGAGCAATTTTGAAAATTGCAATTCTTTTCCATATAAATACTTTTCAGAATAGGGCGGAATGACTGAACCACTTTCAATATCGTTCGTCCTTGGGTCAAAACACGTCACTTTACTAAATTTCATCAAAATATCTAAAAAATTACAGACAGGCTTAGGTCAAGTCAGACTATGATTCTGAATCGATCGTTATAATAAGAGGTGAGTCTGTCTTAAGCTTTTCTGAGTGCTACATACGTCTGCACTAACTTAATATCCCCCGTAGGCTATAACAGCGAAAAATTTTGCATACAGAAGTAAATTCATAGATCGATATGTTGGTGCGGACGTAACAACAGCACAACAAATTGGAGGCTATAGAGAAATAGATACCCTTTAGATTCTATGTGTCACCTGTCATAGGTTGCTGTGCGTATAGGTTTTTATAGAAAGTAGAAATCTATAAAACGGCTATCACGCTATTCGACTTCAACCAACAAAAACCACTCATTCTCTCTCCCTTTCTTGTTATATTAGTTGCTGTTATATCAATTCAGTTTTCTAAACATTTTCTAAACGAACATGTGAGACAATGGATAAAAAACTGGTCTAACCGTAATTCATGAAAATATATTCTATTTTTTATACCATACGTATCCGACTACGGAATACGTACTCAGTTTATTAATCTCTTTGTGACAGCGATATAAGTGAAATAGGAAAACTCGGCATATCTCTCTCCAAGTGCTACATCGGGGCGAGTTTAATTAATTCAAATGAGGGGCTACACTTTTGCCTTTTTTTACGCCCAAATCAAAGGAGAAGATTATCTTGTTATTATCACTATCTTGTTATGGGCACAATAAAATGACATTCATGAGACTGTGAATTATGTCTTCTTCCCTGGCTGTTGTGAAATTTCCTAAGACAGGTTTAAGATCGATTTGATAGTCGGCATTGACTTGCGACCAAAAAGTCTACGTCAAAAAAGTAGGAAAATGTAAAAATATTTTAATGAGTAGTTTACAAATAGGATGAAAATTTGAGAGCGATATTTATAATTTTTTTTTAATATGACCGGTCGCTCAGGGGATGTCGTCTATTCGTGCAGCATGGTGACTGCTAGAAAAAACAGAGCCAAAAGAAAAATAAATAGGAAAATGGTGGCTGCTGCCTAGTGGACTTGGGTCCAATCGTCAAGTGTTATGCCTTTAGCGAGTGAGTACTCCTTATAGCTATGGTTAAAGGCAACTCTACCACAGTTGAGATTTGAACCAGCGGACTTGGTAATTGTTGTCCTTACCTACTAGGCCACATAGGTGGGGGCGAAGGTCGGGTCTGGTATGTATGTATATAAGCATTCCGATTTGTCCAGTGATGCGTTTTTAGTCAACAGAAAATTGGAATTTTTTATGTAACAAAAGAATACTTAAAGTTCGTCTTAAAGCTGATATAACTTGTTAACTTGTTATATCTTACGCCACTTGTCGTACAGGGTATGTAACACGCAGCATTGTTTAAAATAGACCCACCTATTATTATACCAACCGCTGCAGCATCATTTTCTGAATCGATATAAGCCTGTTTGTCCGTCTGTCAATGTCAATTTGTGTTTAAGCTTTGGATAAAATTTGATATACTACCGCGCTTTGTCCCAAGGACGAACGCTATCGAAAATGATTTGGATTGAGCCACCTTTTCGGCCACTCCGCATATAAAGACCTTTTAAAAAACTGAAATTTTAAAAATTTCTCCGTAAAAGTGGCTGAGTAGCAGTATTTCGACATTCTAAATTAGTATGAAAACTTTGGAGCGGCTGGGGCTACTTTTAAACCACCTCTTATTTAACGAAAGCTGATCAAGTTCATACGACAAAGAAGTCAAATTTTCAATACTTTTGATAAAAATCAGATTGTAATGGTAATTTAAAATAAGATATTAACTGTGCCATATTTGATTCATCTCGGCCAAAAGAGTCTAAATATTAAGAGGTTATAATGAAATTTAATTCATAAAAGCAATTTAATATAAAAATTAGCTCTACAAAATTTGAACCATGTGCGGCTATTTTTGTATCTTACCCTATACAAGAATTTTCACGAAATTTTCTTGTTTTCTAGAACAGAAAAGTCTAAGTTTTATTATGTTATGATGAAATTTGACCTATAAAAATTAACTGTTGTGATTTTTGAACACGTACCTCAATTTTTGAACAGCTTGCCAACAACCATTCTCACGAAAAGTAAGGCTTTATGTGTTAAGGTGTGTAACTTTTTATATACAGTGTCATAATAATAAGTTCATTAAAAAAACAGGCTAAAGTTTTTGTGTTCTATAGCGACAATAAGAATTGTGTGAGACAATGTGGTGTAGGGCATTTCAAAGCTGGCCTACCTCGACTATAATGTTTTCACTATTTTTTTTTTTTTCTTTCTTTATTACCAAATATTACGTTATTAAAGTTATTAACGCAATTCTCCTTTTTTTTTTAATTTTGAAATTATGTTTCGTTTGATTTTTTATTTTCTCTAAACTAGGTTAAATAAATGCATTGAGGAAAGTTTTTTTTTCATCTTTTTCAGTATCTTTGTATAATAAGCAAAAATTCCCCAATTTACTACTACATATAATGTTAAATTTTTTGCAACTTTATGCGCTATCCACTTATCCGCTTAAAGAACCTAGAGGCATTTCTTTCAATTCCGTAAGCTTACCCGAAAAACCTGTTGAAAATCATTGGATCGGATCATTTTCCGTTTCTATCACCTCTCTAATCTAGTCCGTGGTATCTTAAATAGTCATCGCTAGGTTGTGTAGGGCATATAACATACGGCATTGCTTGCCTATAACTTTTCAATTTATTATAGCAATCTTATTAACAATAAAATTTCTCACAAATGTAAAATAATCATAGTTAAGCAAAATTTTGATTTTTAATTGACTTTATATCGGGGCTTTAGTAAAAACTTCAACTAAATTTCTTAACGATGATCTTTCGCCTTGCTTTTCCTTGCTGTTGGCAGCATGTTCCTGAGCGAATCCTGATAATTTTCAATATTCATTTAAGTTTTCAGTTTTTTATATTGGATATTTTCAGATTTGAGTTTTGCCAAAAACAGGCGGATAGACTTATGTATTCGTTCGCGTCTTTCCCGGATAATCTACCATGATTCATTCTGTATTGCATTATTCTCCTCAAATAATTTAAATTAAGTTGATGTAACTGTTTTTTATGCCAAAAGGGTGTTGCTTAAGCAAGAAAGAAATAAGTGGTCGCGATTTCTTTTTAAGGTAAAGACAAAAGGCAAATAAGAATAAGGTTTGATGTGGTCGAAACGATACGAAGCAATCTGTTGGGAGTTCATATTAAATCAGCCCGTTTTGTAAGACAGATCTGGTGGCCATTTAAAAATACCGTCTTGAAGCTATACGCGATTGTGCAAAGCTTATATACCATAGTTCTTTCAGGCTTCGAATAGACATCCATCCATCTGTACTAAGCAACAAAAAAGTCATGATATGATGGATTTTCCCGCATGAACAAATTCGATGCCTTAAGAAAGAAAACCTGCACAGAAAATGTTTGCAGTTGTAACCTGGAACACCTTATCCTCCGCGCTGTTTCTAACAGAGATTCTTCTTTTACAAATTAACGTGCATTTTAACAGATGAGATATTTTTGGCTTGATTCGTGTGACGATACCCAAATATGGATTTTTTTTGGAACAGCCTTAAAATGCGAGATTTTTTTTTTCGAAAATTGACTGCGATAGATAGGAGTTTGATTCTTGAAACTCTTCGTCTCTTTCCATCCGTAAGTACCATCCATAACCATTTTTTTGTGCTTTTTGTTTTTGTGGTTATTCAAATTGCAATTTTCAAAATTCGAAACCAAATCATACCCTGTCCGTTACATTGTTTACTAAAGTTGTAGCGAAATAAAGACAAATTGCATTTTAGCTTAAAATTGTTTTATGACCGCCAAGACATAAACAATGAATACAGTTTTACATATATTAGAAATCGACAAATACACGAAACACCCCACATGTTCCACATGTTCACTTTGAATAGTGACACTTTGAGTCAAATAAAACCACATTATACCGTATATACGAGACATGATATTGTTGGTTGTTTTTGTGACTTTGACCTTTTAGTAAAGCTTTTTGGTACGGTTTACAATTTGTAAATTATGTTATTGAGGGCGAAGCTTAATTTATTTATTTATTTTGTCGTTTGTCGTTCTTTTTTTACTTTTCTCTCCTATAATTTATTATTATTAGTTTTTAATACAATTGCATAAATTTGCTTAGATTAAGGGAACGATATTGAGAATCGATAGTTCGGGTCGATGGCTTTGGAAAGGCAAAGAAGAAGAAAGAGAAAATCAAACGGCTCATACTCTTAGGTTATAGCTTTTCTTGTGTATTCTTATGTAGATTTAATTCTTAAAAAAATTAATTTATTACTTACATTAGATCTGGTCGAAAGTGATGGATCATGGCACAAAATGCTAAACCATCACGCCACGATGTTGTCATATTATCAATTTTAACACCAGGATACCCTTCTGTCATGCGACGGCACCATAATTCTAAAGCTTTTGTACCACGACGCTCAGCCATTATTTTTCGTTTAAAAAAAGTTTCAATATTAAGATGTATTATCTGTATATATATATGTATATATATATATATATATATATATATATATAGCACCAGAGTTTTGATAAATTTAGCTGCAATGAAAAAAAAAAAAAAATGGATATAAGCAATAGCATTAAATTAATCAAAAGCAATTCTTACTAGCTTGTGCCTACGGCGTGAAATCCGAATTGAGTATCAGGCCGATTCGCAACATTTTAATTAAACAGAAATATTTCAATATCATTATTCGGTGTAAAATGTGAAATGAAGATAAGGTTGTGTGCAAATGTAAAATTGTGCCTCATTGTCTTGGAGAAATTTATCGATATTAACCACAAAGAGATAACAAAATTGTATTCACCTGCCTGACGGATATTTTAGATTCACAGCCTTTATCTTAAAGGAGACAAAGCGAGAAAACTCCCGAAGTTTTCATCGTGTGTCTCTTGCACTTTATGAGTAATGAGCGAAAAATCCAAAAAGCAGAGGAGTTCGCAGAGTTTCGGTTTATACAGCATTGTAGCTGTATTCATTGACTGATTTGCCCCATCTTCAAGACCAAACTGTACTAACGAACTATTAATGTGTTTGTCCAATTTGAAGCGTACATTGTACCTTGTCGCTGGTAGACATTACACCGATGTGAAGACAGACAGACAGACGTGCTCAGATTGATTGAAAATTTAAAGTTGATAAAGCTTGTATATTTACGTACACCCTATCCAGCCTCAGATATTTCCCGCATTTTGAAAAAATAAATATTCCAGCATCCTTCAATGATGGGTATAAAAACTCTTTGAAAAATATTAGAGACATATTTTCAAGATTTTTAACAAAAATAAAGAAGAAAAATATATATCGTCTATATATTATATATAAGACGAATCTTCAATGCTCCTAAGCACAACAATAGCATGAAAAGTCGAGTAGGCGACTGGCGATCGAAGGCTAAACAACAAGTGGGAAAGGAGTAAATAAAATACAAAAAGCACTATTTAATCATTGAAAATAATATAAAAAAAATTATTTAATAGAAATGAGAAGAGTGCTTCATAAAAAAAAAAAAAAAAATGTACACAAAAATAAATACTTGTATGTGTATTTAATTTTCTTTCTTTATGATATCGTAAGTGCAATAAACGCTACCAAAATTAATTTTTTTGATAATTTTGTTTTTCTCTTTCAAAAATATTGATTTTAAGAACTGGATAATACAAACGGCTAACGCCTAAAGCAATTGATTGGTATGCGTTGCGAACTGTACACGTAGTTGGTCGAAAAAAATGACTAATGACTCCCATTGTCTTTGGAAAAATTTATATATAAATATTTTTTCAAGATCATCCGTAAGTTATAAGCGACATTTTCTTACTTATGGGAGCGTTTTTTTTTTTTTTTTACCCTCAATTCTTAGATTTTTTATTCGAAAATTTGTATCGAATTTGAAATGAGTATCTATTTTGAATGCGCAGTTCTAAGCAAATATCGCACGTATGCAGGCTTTATCGAAGTTCCCGGTTTGTATTTTAATTTTTGTGCGAACAAAAAGCAGGAACGCAAATAAAAAGACTATAGCGGGCCATTATATGCCCTACACCATTTCGCTTAACACGCCGTTGATTGACAAAATGCCTTTTCAAAGTGAGAGGTTGTATGGGAACTAATCGAAAAAGTGGTCCATTTGAAAGCATTTGGAATAGCGTTCGGCCTAGCGCCAAAAAACATTAATGTATCTTAAAAATTTGCGATCTGTTGGTTGAGCACTAGTAAAGAAAATGAAAGAAGACGGACAGACAGGTTAAGATAAATTCAGAATTACTTTCTGAATTGAATAAGATGCTGGTTTTATGTCGAGTGCTTCTGGGTTTTACATACGTCCGCACAAACTTAATAAGCCATTGTACCGCAAATGGTGTAGGGTAAGCAATAAGTAAATGACTTAGAATCTTGTACATTGCAAAGGTGTACGCATTTTTTAAACTGGCAACCATTACTTGAATTTTGAAAGCGACTAGTGTTCTTGCAGGTGCGAGAACAAAAATTCTCGGTTCCGGTAACGGGCACTCAATCACACTAAGGATATACTCTAAAGATAATTAGATTATAAAGAAGCCGTATACAAAAAATATGGTGCTTCTAAGATGACTAATCTTGTCTCTCTGGTCAAGCTCTCCGGTCAAGCATGTTTTAAATGCGAAACATATAATGCTTTAGAGTTCCTATGGTGTTCAAGCATCATAACCGTAAAACGAGCCCAAACCAATTTACTCACGTATAGTACGTTATTGGAAATCTTACGATCATTCTAATAGTACATTTATGTTCGTGAACGACGGCCATAAATCAATCTTCAACATAATCTCTAGTCATGACGCAAACAGCCAAAAATTTGCAACTTATTTTGTCTGTAAGTCTAACATTGGGATTCTCTAAAATCTTAATAGAAAAAAACTCTACGTCGGCCAAGTTTTAAATTCTCAATTAGCGAAATATTCTAAATATTTCTAAAATAATTTCGATTAGAAAAAACTGCATATAAAATCTCTATCCCGTCGCTTATCTATTACGTCTTCGTCAACTTCAGATTTCTTATCTAGTGTAAACGAAATTCAAAAGAGTGCCTCTGTTGCATACATTCGTTCGATATTAACCGTTACTAATTTTATATGTATTTTTATACATTTTCAGTCATAGGTTTGTTATACACGGAAGAGCTTAAATGTAACTCTTTAGCTCACGATAATGTTACCTATTGACGAACTTTTATATATATATATAGATGTAAAATTTGGAAGGTACAGAATGTAACGTCAAAAAAATTTTATGATTTTTCAAATGCGATTGCTTATTACTTCTCAGGCGGCAGTTGTGTTCACTTCTCTTAATAAATTATTTTATCAAATTTTGTCACGGAAAATTTGGAAGTTTCAACTTTTTTTTACAAAGTCTTAATGTGAAAATTTTGGCAGGAAATTTTATTTAATGTCTTAGTATTTTTGTTTTTTATTTTATTTTATTTTTTTTTCTTTTTCTGCCACTGCATACACTTTTTTGCAAAATTATTTAAGTAAATTCCAATATCGTAAATAAACTAAAAGTTTTCGGTAAAAAAAACTGTTCAAGGTCAAGCGTTTGACCCTACCATTTTGGAAAAGAAAGCAAGTAAAATTTTGTGCAGTAACTATGTGGCAAAACAAATCAACAGTCATGAAGACCGGAAAATTGCATAACCTGAAAAAGGAATACGATCGCATCAAGGATTTTGATGATCACGCTCTTGAATTGAAGATGCGCGAAGCTCGTTTGAAACACTTGTTCAATGAAATTGAAGAAATCAAAGGAAATATATTAAAAAAACGTCATCTAATAAAGATCAAGGATGCGAAAAGTGACCTATCATTATTTCGGGGCACCGCATTAAGAACGCATAAGAATATCTTAGAATTTAAAAAAAGTTATCCCCATAAAAGCGAAACAATTCAAACAAAGTTGACTACCACCGCAACAAATCATTTAATGAATAATGAAAACATGGAAAATGTTGCGCCGAATAAACGCTTTAAATTGAATATGAGCTCAAGGAAATCGCAATTAGATATGCGTGATCGTCAGAGTAAAGCGAATTTAATGAGACGTCTCAACTACGGCAATAGAATATCGCGATTAAATATGCAACGGATACTTATAAATAATTTACGCAAAGAGATTTACGCAATGGAAGGTGGCGAAGAGAGAATGCAGGAACGCGTTAATTATACCAGCAGCGCTTCTAGCAATTGTTTTGCCAAAATTCCAAAACGTCGCAAGAAGGATGACATTGCTCTGCAACAAACTCTTCAAGGTGACTCCAGCAGGACTTTAATACCAAGTGTGTTCAATGAGGGTAAAACCTTACACACTGCTCCAAATCAAAAACGTAGTATAGAGGATAGCAGCACCGAAGCCTGCACTCTTGAAGGTCGAACTTTTAGCGAGATGATTTACTCATGCCTTTCGTCAGAAATATTTGATTGGAGTCGAATCTTTTGATACCCGCTATTAACAAAAACTCTTTTAACGTGCGCGGAAGCAAGAAGGCAAAACTCTCCTGCAATCGTGTATTGTTATATAACTTGGATATCATTTTCATTCATTTTCTTTTGTTTTAATTTATTTTTGCGCAATGAGCCAGAAACTTGGTACAATCATTCTTAGATATATGGGTACTTGTTAACCCATTTTCTCTTTGAACTTATTCGGCATTTCACTAATATATAATAATCATCTAAGGATATATATACTAAGTTTCAGCTTTTTGTCGCAAATTTGCTTGATTAAGAATTCCGAGATAGGTGCATATATATATTTATATATATATATATATATATTATATTTTATATTTATATTACATACATATATTATATTGGATATATATATATATATACATAGACATATATATAGCTTGTTACGTCTCGAATGAAGCAACTGCAATATGAATGCGTTCGTTACCTATGAATAACGAGTATCGAGTAATTTGCTCCAATACAATTACAATCGATATCTTTGCCTATATAAGTACTCTCTATTAGGGATAAATATTATCAAAACTTTATTAAATACGTTCGTATCAGTTCTTACGTTTTCATACTAAATTTCCTTTGCACCATGTTTGTGTTAAAAAAAACATTTTTCCCTTCTCTGCAATAACTAATAATAGTAATAATAATAATAATAATAATAATAATAATAGTAAATAAATAAATAATAATTTCTATTTACTTATTTACCTAAGGAAACCCTGCAAGTTTATCGTTAAGTTATTAAGAAGAAATAAAAAATGAAAAACAAAAAGTACATATAACCACATGTCATAAAACGAGACACTTGAATCTACTGCAATAATAGAGAAACGTTTTAAATTTACTTTAAGCTCATTTGTATTATACTTGGACGTACCTACCTACGTACGTACGTATGTACTTATGCACATGCAAAACAATAAACAGGTTTAAATCGAAACTAATCAATCTCATAAATCTGAGAAGTAAAAGACAAAAAAAAAAAAAAAAAAGCGAAAACAAAACAAACCGAAGCAAAATTTAATAAAAAGGGAGAATGACTCATTACTACCGACGTGACAACCTGTCTCTGATGGGAAATGTGAAGCAACTTTTGTATGCTTTTTGTTTTTGTGGTTTTATGCATTGAAAGAATGCCTGAGAAAGAAATATTCAATTATATGCTTTTTAAAAGCTTAGAAAACCTAACAAAAAAACATTACAACAAAGAAAAAATTTTTACCATTTATCATCTTTCTTAAGAATCATTAATTTGTTAAACACGTCTAATTCATACACACATTGTGAGGAGCTATACTATTAAAGCAATTGCTTTCTTTGTATGTTAATATTTATTACGAGACAAATAGGTATAAAGAGTAATGGAAGCATATTCACATCTTTTAATCTAATTTCCTTCTTCAACACGTCATTAATATTAACAATAAAAGAAAAATAACAAAAGAAAACCAAAGAGATGAAAAAAGGAAAGAAAATTTAATTCGTTTGTTAAACTTTGTTTTCGATTAAATCAACTCTACCATCATTGTACAGGGGATAGACAAAATAATACAAACTAAATATGCAGCCTAAGTGTGGATGGAGCGTCAGTGGAAAACGCTAGAGGAACGCGATAACTGATCTTTCGTATCAAAAGTCAGTCAATTTCGATTTGGACGGTGTGATGCAACATGCCGTAGAAAATCAATTTATTGAGGTCAAAGTTCAACGACCACGTAACGTCCGAAAATACTCATGTTAGCTCATCACACAGCCCATGCAATATAATTCCATTGATTTTTTTTCGTTGGAATTAGGTTATGTGTGTATATTATGTTGTTCCAATGCCCCATAAACTCTCAATGACTTCGATCTTCCTAGATTATTTGTGCTATTTCTGGCAAAAGGGCAGATCTACGTCAAATAATAGGTAAAAACTGATATTCTATAGACGAATTCTTCAAGAAGTCCAAGTCCGTTGATGCCAGCATAAATCAAATATAAAAGAAAAATAAAAGAAATTCTGCGGTTTTGCTTTTATTTCAAATTAAAGGCATCCCTGTCGCAACATATCAGTTATCATATTCCTCAAGCGTTCTCCATTTATGACATTTTCATGTTCGAAAATCGCATTTTCAGCCAACAAACCACGGACAGAATTCGCACATTAGATGTATTTTCCTTACCACCAAGTCGTTTAACCAAATATAAGCTTCATTTCACATAGACGTAACGTAATCCTTGGTTCATTGTTTCAGCGTTCAGTTTTTTAACATTTTCTATACGCTCTCCAACTATGTTTGTACAATGTATCACAAAAAGGAATTTGATTCAAATGTCAACCAGAATTGCGTTTTCTTTACGCCTACTTTCGACAAGAACGACCGACAAAATGGATGACCCTATATATACTGCGGATAGGCAAACTCATATGAACTATAAGTTTGTATTATTACATCTACGCTGCGTACATATCCTTAACAAATTATTTCAGAATCCCTGTACGATGTGCATAAATCGAGTGAGAAGGATATATGTCCTCGTAACGTTAACTGTTTGGCTGCCTCTCTAATTAGCATATTAATGCGAAAATTATTATTTTTTACCGAATCTTTGAAAATCATTCTCTCAAATGGATCCTTCTCATGTACACTGACACATAAAACTTCTACTAACATTGCCTTTTCTTGTTCGTATCAACCATTTTAAGATTAACTAAGATCGTGTAGGTTATACACATACTGGACTGGACTGGAGTAAAATTGATGATGCCAGCCATGTTGAAGTAGATTTGAGTCTCCCGAACTCTCAATAGTTTTCAAGGGCCTAATTATATTAAATAAGTAAAAAAAGTCATAATCGGCTGTAACCGAATCTTTTATAGCCATCACCGTTCATCGTCTTAAAAAGAACTTGAAAAAAAAAGGAGAAAAATAATTTTCCATATTTTATAAAATTTCGTGGGTGTGGCTGGCTTGTTACATTTTTGTAAAATAAAAATGGAAATTTCTATCGCCTATCCTGATATAGTTCACGAGTAATGAACACCAAAAAAAAAAAAAAAAAAAATCGAAAAATAAACCTCTTTTCAGTTTTTGTTGTACAGACATGACTAAATCATGATTCAGAACTTGATGCTCGAAAGTTTCCTTCGCGGTATTGCAAAAGGTTTGACAAAATCTTCCAGCGCGATAGCTATAAAAATTTGCATGTAAATTGTTTGAAGAAGAAAATTTGAAAATTCCATCCCCTCCTTCAGATTGTTATCTCTCCCTTGCCTTGGCCAACTAGAGAAATTGTATTAGTTGGGATGCTAACTGGATGACTTTATCTTTGCTATCGAGAGGAGAAAGTATTCTAATCGTGTAATCGGTGTTAAGTTAACTGCGAAAAACTATACACAACAACACCAAAGACAGCAATAGCAAGTATTGTGTCGTAAAAATGTTTTAAAGATTGTAAATATAGATACGCGTAGTTGTTTATATACGTATATACAATATCGTTAGATCTAGACACATTATACTACAGGTTATTTAAATAGTAGTTATAGCAGATAATAGTGGAGAAGAAACTGGTTTTTTTTTTTTTTTTTTTTAATTTTTATTTTTTCAGTTTTAGTATGAAGCACAACACTTTTGTAAGCATTTTTGTTTTTTGTTTTTGTTCTTTTGTTTTCAAACAGGTGGCGAAATACGGAAAGGTGTCACTTATATTAAAGCGAAAATTTTTAAGTAAATTGTTACTTATAAAATTTATATTCCCTATTATTTACTCGATTTTCTTTCTTTTTTTTTTTGGAAATAGTAAAATTATTGCATCTATTTTATACTTGATTCGAGTCGATTAAAGTGCTTGGAAGAAGATCGCATGAAAGACGTAACTATGACTGTTCACAGACTTTTTATTTTTGTGAAGAAGAGTGAACAAGTTAAGCGCTTTAGCGCTTCATAGATTCAACAGTTCAATCGGGTCATAATTGATGTTAATACCGATCTAATAAATTTGTCCTTTTATTAATCAAAAAGCCGCAACGAGGCTGATCAAATCCAAATCGTATCCATTCAATTCAGTTCCTCTGGCAGATGATATGGCATGGCACGTACATTTCAACGTTCCATGAATAAATTATAAATAATAATAGATAAATAAAAAAAGTGTATATATATTCGACTTGGGACAACGTTTCGAAAACTTGTTTTTACAAATTCAGTTTTTCAGTTTTTTAAGAAAATGCGACTTCTTTTTTAAAAATACTATAATTTAATCATAATTAAAATGTGAACTTTTAAGACATATTTTCGTTCGCCTATTTGTAAAATGTTCAGTTGATGATTGAAAGCAAGAATATATACCTTTTCACGAAACTTCGTGCAAGAGAAATTATTCAGTTAAAATGCTGATTAATTCACATAGTAGAGAGTTTTCAAAAGAAGAGCTTAGAAGCTAGGCGTTAAGCAATTGCTTTTATACCCTACTTACGATACAGGGATATATTAAGTTTGCGCGGATGTATGCGACAGAAACGGGAACAGAAAGACTTGAGATAGATGCACATTTTAGTATACCCATTAGTTCAGAATCACTTTCCGAATCGATCTAAGCCAGTCTGTCCGTTTCATTTTCTTTTGTTTTTGTATTTTGATGAAATTCGGCACTGCTTCGGAGCGAATCACTTTTTCGACCCCTTTCCTTATTTTGAAAAGCCTTTAGATTAATCGCAATAAGGTCTAGGATATTTAATGGTGACTCGGGGCCCACCACCATTGTGTCTTTATTTGTTTTATATTGTTACGTAGCCACCTTTTGATTTTCTTTCATCAACCTTTGAGATCATTGTATAGGAATCGTCTCATTGGATTGCATACTTTAATCCGCCCATTCATATACGTAAAAATATTATACGCCGAAAGCGAACACTAATAATACAAGAATTACTTTTCTCTATTCGAAACCGAAGTCAATTGTTTGAAATAATATTTCACATAAGTA